AACCCATATTTTGGGACTTATAACCCCACTTATAACTACCCATGAACCTCCAAGTAAGGCCCCGTGTTGTACTTCTTTACAATGAGGTTTTTTTTGAAGTAGAAGAGTTATAACAGATGTAACTTGGTTATAAGTGGGTTATAAGCCACTTATAAACCACTTATAAGCAGGTTGTATAAGCTATAAGTTTTGTAACAGTTATAAGAAGTAGAAATGTTACAAGTTGTTCGAAGTGATACAACAAATACTACGACATATACATGTTAATAAGAATTGCAAGTAGTTATAACTCTAAAAAAGAGATAGAAAGGATAGAAAAAGATAGCATGCTACGGCGATGTCGGCCATTTTTTTGTAACACTGCTTACGTTACTTATGCTTGCGTGTTTTGCAGCTTTGAATTTGACTTGGCAGGAACATGATGTTTCCAAGCACAACAGGAACCGAAGACAAGTTGATGCTGTCATGCCAGTCCTCGCAGGGCATGTTGCTCTGAGCTGATTTCGACAGGCTAGAATAGGATTCTCTTTGTAGATTCTTGGATGCAAGAAGCACCCGGGAGGAAGGGGACAGACATTGTTGAGGGTTTGTGGCTTTCACGAGCAGTGGCTCTGCCACGCTCGTTCTATGTGTGGAACGCTCAGCAAGAAGCATGCCTTCCCACGCGTATCCAGAATTTGTTATGTCTTCTCAGACACTGCTTGAAGTTTCTGTATTTTATGCAGAGGTTCTGTTGCAACTACAAGCATCACATGCCTTGTACGAGTGGTCTCAGCAGACTTTGTTGTGGCAGTTGTTTGTTAGTCTGTACACGGATGTAGGCATGCCAAGTACCGCAGTGCGTGTTCTTTGCAATTCGTGGTGCTTGAAGCAGAAGCGTTGTTGCCTTCCAAATGTGTAATGAACGCCATACACCCGGCTGCGCTTTTCAAGGCCCAAGCACTGCTGCATGCTCCTGCTTCTGCAAGCATGAAGCGACCGGCGCTTGTGCGAGCTGACGTGGCGTCACGTGAGAATACCGTGCTGTCACTGGGTCCGCGCGAGACGCGGCGGCACGAGGCGACAGGAACATGAGGCATGCTCTAAGTTTTTCCTTCTCATGTTTTGCCTTCCCACATGCAGGTAATGATAGTCAAAGATATCCGGATTTGGCTTTCCTCCGCGAAGAGCCAGACCTCAGCCGACGTGGTCGCGGAGGGGAACAGCCAGAGCGATGAGGACGCTGCCGGCGCTTGCTCCTGCTCCGACGTCGTTCCCCCCGCATGTAAGAAGTGCAAGCCGGCCTGTCAGCCTCAGCCCCTTGCGGAAGACGAGCTGGCGAAGCAGTTGCTCGAAGACAAGGAGTTCGCCTACGAACTCGCAGTGGGCACCGAAGTGAAGCGGTTTAGCAACGGTGTCTCCTCTAAGGACATGATGCGCAACCAGCAGACAGAGAGCAAAGACGCCTAGTCTGTGTAGGAGCTGTGCAAGCCGGAAGGCCATTGCCCGAGTGCAGCTGGCAACCCTCAGGGGCGGTGCTAGGGAGCGGTTTGGTTTGTGTTCCTGTGACTCGATTTAGCCAGAGCAAGGAGTCCAAGGTAGCAACTCCTGGGCTAGACACGTGCTTTCCGAGCCTGACTGCGGCAACAAAGAAGGGTTGGCCGGGTTCTGCTTCAAGGTTTCATGTAGGGTTTGGCGGGGTGAGGGTTTGCTGGTGCCGAGCGCTATCTGTGTGATATCGGGTTTAGACCCTTGGTCAGCCATGCAGGCCTCGGTTACCGTCGTGGCTCGGCCGCACGTGTCAGTGTTTGCCATGTCCATATATAGTGCTTGTCAACCCGATCGTCAAGCCGCTGTGGCTCTGCCACGCGGCATGTCTACTTGCAAGAGTTAGTCTGTGGTCTGGATGTGTCTGTGTTCTGTCCAGCCGCCGTGGCTCTGCCACGCGGCAAGTCTGAGTCCGCCACGCGGCGAGTCTGCGAGCACGCGTTAGCCGGGTGTCTTGTTCTCCTGAAGCCGCCGTGGCTCCGCCACGCTGCCAGTCTTGGAGCAGGCGTCAGCCTGTGTATAGTGTTCGTGAAGCCGCTGTGGCTCTGCCACGCGGCATGTCTAGTTGCAAGAGTTAGCCTGTGGTCTACATGTGTCTGTGTTTTGTCCAGCCGCCGTGGTCTGCCACGCCACCAGTCTGAGTGCAATGAGCGGCCTATGCATGCCTATACTGTCTGGAGGTGTCAGTGTTTCGTCCAGCCGCCGTGGCTCTGCCACGCGGCATGTCTACTTGCAAGAGTTAGCCTGTGGTCTACATGTCTCTGTGCTTTGTCCAGCCGCCGTGGCTCTGCCACGCGGCAAGTCTGAGTGCAATGAGCGGCCTATACAGTGTCTCTATAGGCGTCCGTGTTTCGTCCAGCCGCCGTGGCTCTGCCACGCGGCAAGTCTGAGTGCAATGAGCGGCCTACACTGTCTCTAGGTGTCCGTGTTGCGTCCAGCCGCCGTGGCTCTGCCACGCGGCACGTCTCACTGCAAGAGTCAGCTTTGTGTCTGTATGTGTTCGTGTTCGTGCAGCAGCCGTGGCTCTGCCACGCAGCAAGCAGCAAGTCTGAGAGCACAGGTGTCACTCATGCAGAGACTGTTTTCTCCTCCAGCCTTCATATGCAGGCATCTTTTGCTCAGCATGCCCTGGGAGCTTTGTAGCCTAGACCTCTACCGCCCTCGTTTCAGCGTTCGGTGGCAACGACCCCCGGTCGCAGATAGCTGTAACTGTATTGACCAGACCCGACACTGTTGGGTTTGTTTTGCAATCCAAGGTGAGCGCCGCAGACGCCGAAGCTCAACTTCTTCGGAGCACTCGGAAGACACGCGGAAGGTGGCCAGGACAGAGACCGAAGTCGAGCGGAAGGACCTTCCGCACCTTCCCCAAGAGGACTCCAAGCCCGACAAGAAGGAGAAGGACAAGGACCTTCCGGACTTAGCTCCCGAGGTCTCCAAGCCGAGAGAGGCCGACAAGGAGGGCGAAGCCACGGACGACACGGACGACAGCACTGGACCGCAGCCGGTGGCAGCTGCTACAGCTGGTCAGGAAGGTCTACTGCACTACATAAACTTTGCATCATCCGAAACCGCCGAAACCGTGCACCCTAAACCAAAAGCCAACACTAAACCAAAACCCAACACTGTAAGTCCGAAACCCTGCACTTCCCGGTAGGCCGCAGTAGAGGCCCGACGCAAGCCCGTCCATGTCATGCAGGAGAGCCCTGTCAGCCCTCTCTACGACCCGGACAACGAGCTGCCGGAAGTGAACACGGAGGACAAGGCTCCAGTGGACTTTCCGTGGCGCGTGCCTGCGCCGCTGCCGCCGCCGCCTAGCAGCGTGGCAGACCAGACCCCCGCTTTGAGCAAGCGAGCGCGTCGACGCCTAGAAACTGGCTTCACCAGGCCGCGGTCAAAGCAGCCACGACAGAACAAAGCCACCGCGAGAGCTTGCTCGCGAGGCGGACGAAGGGCGTAAAGTGAGCAAAAAGCACTATATCTGGCTGCGCACACACGCACACATGTCGCTGCTAGTCGAAGTCTCTCGTCCAGTGGCTCTGCCACGGCTGCTGGTTTTTGTTGGCTATTTTGGCTATATAGTATTGCGATGATGTATGTCTGTTTATTGCAAGCTTGCGGTGCTGCCGCGGCCTGCAAACGCACGCTGCTCACGTATTGCACTTCACGTCAGTAATCCTTTCGAAGACGTGGCCCAAGTGAAGAAGCTGCAGCTGTGAAGGTCCTGTCCTGCCAAGCACATGGCGGGCCGCAAGCAGCAAGACTACACAGCCTTGCCTTTCTTTTTGACACGAACAGAGTGGGACAAGCTGCTCCAGAGTCAGGACAAGTGGACACGCCTCGGCGCCGTTCTGCAAGTCGCGTCGCTGCTAGGTCTCAGGAACCCGAGTGAGCCTAGCATGGCTGTGTTCTTCGGCCTTGTGCACCCCAACTTCCGCGAAGAGGATGCGCTCTCCCTGAACCAAAGCTTCTGCGTCTTCAAGGACGAGGTGCGCCAAGAGCTCCTCACTCTCAACGCCGACTTGTCTCCTCCAGCCACGCTGGCGCAAGATCGTCTGCGAGCGCCCAAGCACCTGCCAGAAGAGCTTTTAACCTTGGTCTACAGCCAGGGCGAGATGCCTCTGTCTGAGCTCCCCATCGACAGGAAGCAGTTCTACCGAAAGGTTTCCTCTTTGCCGCTTCGCAAGTCTCACGGTCGCGTGCAAGCACAAGCAGCTTGGGCTACCTTGCACGGCCGGGGTTTGCAGCAGGCCTGCGGAAGCGGCACCCTTGGCGCTCTTGTTCCTGTTCCCGCTAGCCCTTTGCCAGCACTTGAGTCGGGCTCAAGGGGCCTTGCTGCTCCAGCCCTGGAAGCTTCCAGCTCAGGCTCTGCCCTGGTTTTAGCCTCTCCAGCTCCAGCAGCCCAGCCTGCCCTGCCTGCAGCCCCTCCAAGCCTTCAAGCTGGCTTGCCTGCAGCTCTGGAGCTTCCTGGCCCAGTCCTAGTTCCAGTCCCGCCCTTGCCAGCCCTGCAAGCTTCCAGCTCAGCCACTGCCCTGGTACCTGCCTCCACCCCGCTTTCTGTGTCAGCGGTCGCAGAGCAGTTGCCCGTGCCACACACCTGGACTTGCGAGTCAAGCGAGGCACAGACAAGTCAGACCAGCCCGAGAGCTGCAGCTCTTGTTCCTGCTGACACATCAGACGCGAGCAAGGTGGAGGAGGTCACGGCTTTTGCTGACCCGAGCAAGGTGGAGGCTGCTGTCGCTCGGTTTCAAAGGGCTCTTGCAGACCGAGAAGAAGCCAAGGGCAAGGAGCAAGAGACAGCGCAGGCCGCGCACAAGGACTCGCCTGCTCTACGCCGCTGTCGCTCTAAGACGCCTTGCCCCGACCAGCCAGCCGCGAAGAAGACCCGCGCCTCGCCCAAGGACCCTGCAGACCAGGCGCTCCCCAAGACCCAGAAGGCGACAGAGGCTGCAGCGACCACGAAGAAGGCCAAGTCCCAGAAGTCTTCCGAAGCTTCGAGCGCGAAGCAGAAGCAGCCAAAGCCGAGCCAAGCTGGGGAGGCCAAGCAGACAAAGACCCGCAAGCCAAGCCACGGCTCCTCGAGCGTAGCGGACGGGCCCCGGCAGCTTAGCACCAGCACGAAGTGTGTCGCCAGCCGCGCTTACCACAAAGCCAGGAAGGAAGCAATCACAGCTGGCAAGACGCCCGAGGCTGCTACTGAGCTCGCTCGCTCCGCGCATCGCCGAGTGTATGCTGCGGCTGCTGCGGGCGCCTGATCAGTTTTGTGACTCCTGCATTTTTTCCGTTTCATGATCCCGGGCAAAGACGAAATGCAGCAATTACTCTACTTGTCGCTCGAGCTGTTTACTCCGAAGCTTAAACCGTAAACCCTATAGAAATTAAAGTAAACCCCTAGACATCCCTAGACTAAACCCTAAACCCTAAGTCCCAAGCCCTAAACCCTATTCCCTAAACCCTAAACCCTACTATAGGGGCCTTAATAATTAGAATAGGGTTTCGGCGCCCATTGTACTACAATTATAGTAAGGAACTCCCACAGCAATATTGGTAATGAGGCTCCTATATGGTCAAACTTACGATATAGGTACCCGTCAGCTTGTCTCAGAACTGTGTGGATCCGAGTTTATTGCCTGGACATTTTGATCGTACAGTATAAGCATGTTGCGGCCGCCTTGAGCAGACCCAGTCATAACGACAGTCGCCCAGATCAGCATGCGATGTACCATAGCGCGTGTGTGCTGCACGGCAACAGCCATTGTAAATGCTAGCTCTACACGCGTTGTTTTACCTACCGCCAGATATCCTTTGAAGCAGTTTCTGTCTCTGAAGAGCGCTGGTTTTCCAGCTTCGCTCTGCGCTGCCACAGAGCCGAGGCAACCGTCTCTGCCACCTTGTGAAAAAGACAGCAGGCTCAACTTTGCCCTTGCTTGCTTGCTTGCAGCAGAGGGAACTGTTCTGCAGGATCGCTGCACATCTGAGTGGACACGGACAGCGCTTAGGAGTCACCACTGAGACGGGAGTTTGTGCGTTTTTTTTTACCGTGGCGGGCGAGCAAAACGCTTCCAGCAGATACCCCAGGATACGTTGCGATACGTCCAGCATGCGAGGCCAGAGCCACCACAGGATACAACAGGATACGTCTGGATACGTTCCCTACTCCCTTCCCCGTGGAGCCCGGATACACCAGGATACGTGCGATACGTCCGGTTTCCATGCTCCTGGTGCGAGAACCAGCACACGATACAACAGGATACGTTGCGATACGTTTGCCTCCTGCCTTCCCTGCCCCGCACCCGGACCACCCAGATACAACACGATACGTTCACCATGGGGGGACCGGGACAAGGCCAGATACGACAGGATACGTTTGGATACGTTGCTGTTTGGTCTGCTCCTTCTAGATACGGACATGCCTGCAGACGACTCTTGTGTATATGCCGATATACCCGGCCGTTGCAAGAGCTGTCAAGTTAGAGAAGCAACGCCCAGCCCGTGTCTCCCTGCAGCCTGTGCACGGCCACTCCATGGCTACCAACAACTTGCAGCTGGCTGCGCTTGCAGGGCAGCCAGACTTGGCCGAGGAGAAGCACGACGAACAGTTGGCAGAGGAGGAGGAAGAGAAGGACGAAGAAGTCTTGTCCTGCGCGCGGTGCTTGCTGCCGACAGACACGGCCTCCAGCGTGGTGAAAGGCGTCAACGGCAGGCGTTGGTGCAACAGCTGCAACCGGCTGAGCGTTCTGCTCTCCCGGAACTGCGGCTGGCCGCTCCCCGACTTCGAGGAGCTTCCAGAACAGGAGCAGCTCGAGTTTTGGAGAAACGCTGGCAAGACCACCGCCGGGCAGCGCTTGAGCTACAAGAAGGTCCGTGCAGCACTCCACCGCAAGCTTCTGACCCGACAGGTCACGAAACTCAAGCGTGAGGTTGGGTCTACGTACAAGCCTTTGGACGTCTGGACGAAGGAAGGCTACGACGCGGAGAAGGTCAAGCGCTGGGACGACACAGAGCTGAACCCAGCACCGTGGCCGATCTAATGTAAACCTCCGCGACGTTGGGCGCTAAGACTTAGGAACGTTTGGGGTTTGGGGGGTGGATTCTTAATTGGGCTTCATTTCCTGCAAGATCCTGCAAGCACAAGGCCCTCGGACTTTGCTACCGTCTCCCTCTGAACTCCGTGCACCTCTCGCACGCCACCGAGAAGGTCGAGGAGACGCTGACGAAAGCGGAGTTCACTGTGCGGCAGAAGGCGAAGCTTGCCACGCCTGCAGAGCAGCACCTTGAGACCAAGCAAGAAGAGAACGGCCAGGACAAGGACGAGCTGGAGGACGACCAAGAAGTCTGCGTGCTCAGCGACGAGGAGCAGGAAAGCGAGGAGCCGGCGGCCAAGCGCCCCAAGGGGCGGACTGCTAAGCAGGAAGAGGCTCGCCAGAAGCGCGAGGCTGCGCGAAACGCCAAAGCGGCCGAGAAGGTTGCGAAGCGGGACGTGGCAAAACGCACCCAGCTGGCCAGCAAGACCGGTCCGCCGCTTCTCAGCTACCTGAAGGCACTCACTGCCGGCCTTGACGACGGCGCAAAGCTCGAGAAGAAGACCCCCGAGGCTTTCCTGGCTGAGCAGGACGAAGACGGCACAGAGCGGACGAGTACGCTCGTTCGCATGCGCACCGAGTTGGAAACCGTCCGTGCCTGGTACGCTGCCACGAGCTCCCTCCTCGCTAAGGTTGCTGCTGGCAAGAAGGACGTTGGCGTGCTCCCCTTCGACGCCGCAGACTGGTGCACCAAGAACAGCATCCTCAAGGGGCTGCTGAAGCGCTTTAAGGAGCAGAAAGCTCTTGCCAAGCGTGCCACGGCCAAGGCGCCCAAGCGGTCCTAGACCTAGAGACAGCCTGTTTCTGTGCATGTAATTAAGATCCGTCGCGCAGCTACTTGCCGCCCAGGGGAGAGAACACACGCAACAGCAGAGAGGAAAGTGCTATTGGTCCGCCTACCGTGCATCACGGCAGCAGAATGCATGTCATGCCCAGTCATTTGCGTGGCCCTGCCGCGCGGTCCTAGCAGCAGTCGCTTTTGGAAGCTCGGTCGCTACATGTCTGCAGATGTCAGCGTTGCCGCTGTGGCTCTGCCACGCGTTCCTGCCAGCAGTCGCTTCAGGCAGCTTTCTACTTGGAGGTTCATGGGTATTTATAAGTGGGGTTATAAGTCCCCTAACAGTGATCATAACCATAGTTACCCTAAATATAACCCCACTTATAAGAACTTCCCATGAACCTCCAAGTATAGATGTAGTAGCGCGCCAGGTGTTGGCAGTGGTCAGCTTTTTTTCACACTTGCACTTTTTCCTGCCTCATCGCAATTCTGTCGCAGCCGTCCTCGCAGACTCAGGCCCTTTCTCACAGTAGACTAGCTCGGTATGTCGAAAGAAGTGGGCTCCAAGTACAACAAGCTCGCGAAGGAGTACCGGGACGGCGAGCAGCAGCAGCAGCAAGACCGGGTGCCGAAGTTGTGCGCGGGTTTAGGGCCGCTCACAGTGAAGCCGAAGCTCACGTTCCGCAACCTGCAGACCCACGTGGCGCCCAACCCCCTGCAGCTGTCACAGGCGGACGCAAAGCGCCTAGCCAGACGCCTGGTTGACCGAACTGCAGAGATCGACCTGAACAGTCTGGACTGAAGCACCCTTCTCTTCACGTCTTGCATCTACGTGTTGTACTTTAGCACTCTAGCGTTTAGAGCTAAGCGAAGGCAAGCTTCGCTCAGCTCGCTGCGGAGACTGAACTGCACGAACCCAAAATGTGGAGGCAGACTATAGGGACATGGTCGAGAGAGAGCTATAGTGGCGTGGTCACGAATGCGGCCTTGCATTGTCTCGTAATTCTTTTCTGACTGTAGACACACGACGCAAAGTTGCAGGGGGTAGTCTTGTACAGCTGTGGCACTGCCACGCTCTATACTCCCATGCCAGTAGCTCGCCCGCAGTGCCTAGGCTAGGATCATGTGCACATGAGCCTGCTAGCCATGGAATGAGTGCAGCGACGGGCAAAAGAGCCTTGCTGGCAGCTGTAGGCGATCCGCCACGCAAGCGGGGGCGCAAGCCGAGGCCGCTTGGGGAGGAAGCGCAGCGACGCTGCGGAGACTTGCTGCAAGCAGGGCTGTCGGATCGCAAGGTCTGCGAGCTCATACCGGAGCACTCGCGCACAAAAGTCCAGGAAGAGCTGCAGCGCATGCGCTCCCCTGTGAGTCCTTGCTTCAAGGTAGCCACGCTGGGAGATGTGAAGGTCATGTTTGCAGACATACGTAAAACACTTCAGCTCCTGGTCGAGGCTGTGCCTTTATTCCATGACAAGATGGAAGAATGGCACGACAGAGCTGTCAGATGTGCGCTCTATTTTGATGAAGTGCAAGCAGGGAACATACTAGCGCCTTTGCCTAGCAAGAAGGCGGGATTTTTCTACCTAGGCTTTCCTGACTTCGGCGTGGCGTGGCGCAACAGCCCTCGCGCTTGGGTGACACTCGGCATGCTGCCGTACTTGGATCATCAGAACGTGCCAGGCGGTTACACGGCCTACCTACATTTGCTCCTGGAAGAGCTCGACTTGGCTCGGAACGCCTTCCCAGTGGCGCGAGGCATCAAGATTTCCCTCTTTCTCGCGATGTACATAGCCGACCACGACGCCCAGAAGATCGTCTTCGACAACACTGGCTCGGCAGGACTTGCACCCTGTCTTTTTTGCGCCAACATATGTAAACTGGATGCGGACTTAGCAGGGAGAGATGCCGATGGTCTTCTGCGTGACATTACAGAGGACAATGTCAGACGATTCGTGCGAAAGCAGGATGAGGACTGGTTCAAGCTGGTGGACGACCTCCACAGGGATGTGTGCAGCATGCGCTTAACAAAGAAAGCGGTGAAACAAAGATCGCAATGTCTAGGCATCAACTACCGCCCGGACAGCGGACACCTTTTCCAAGCCCGCTACCGTCATTTGCTTCCGCCCAGCTACTGTTTCAATGATTATCTGCACGCGTACTTCCAGGGAGGTTGCGCGGCGGTGGAAACAACGAGGTTGGTCGAGAGAGTCCTGTCCAGGACGCTGCTGAACTTGGAGGATGTCGCCGAGATGGCGCGCATGAACTGGAAGGCCGCACGGCATGTCAGCTCTGCGGGGCCACAGGGTAGAGCCGACTTCTTCCACGAGAGACGCTTTCGAAGTTGTTATGTCGGTAGCGGGGGTGAACAAATTCAGATGATGCCTCTCCTGCTCTTCACTCTCTGCCGTTTGCTTCTGCCACGTGGAGAACTGCAGCAAGAACTCGAGTGCTACAGCCTGCTGGTACAGATCACGCACTGCTACCGGTGGCTTCATCACACAGAGAAGATCTCCAACACGTCTCGCCTGCAGCTCCTCGCAACAGAGCTGAAAACGAGATTACTTATCTTATTATCTACGTCGTTCCCTCAACAGTAGCTTACTTAAGCAGAACCAGCATGTGCAGTCTTTCCCCCGGCCAGGCTGCGGCCCCCCGGTAGCCTTTGGACCCCTTCACCTCCCCTGGAAACCCTATATGCCTACATGCTTTCAAACTTGAACCCTAAACCCGAGGTTTAAGGCTTCAAGTTTTTGGTTTAAAGCTTCAATTTTTTGGTTTATAGGATTTCTAATAAGGTTTAGGGACTTAACAAAAAACAAACAATCTCCCTCGTAAACCCTTTTGCTCGCATCCTGCCAAAGCAAAGGAGTCCGCACACCAGCGCAAAGCTTTGCTCGTCTACGGGAAGGAGCTGTTCTTGCCAAAACACCACCACCGTCTACACATCGCGCAGCACGCGATGCATTTCGGTTGCTTTCTGTCAACCATCGTGGGCGAGGCCAGACATCGCGACTTCACTGCTGAGATCGGAGATCGCATGGACGCATTTGCCAAGCAAGGTCTGGCGCTGCATGTGCTGCCGCGCTTGCTAGACAATCAAGTCCGGCAGTTGCAAGACGAGGAAAACTCCGGCCTCAGGTCTGGCATCCGAAAGCCCTGCAAAGACCATGCTAACTGCATCGCGCGACTTCCCAGCTGGCTCCAGTGTGAAAGCAGCAGCACAGGCAGACGTTTAGTCTTGGACTGCAACACAATCAGCGAGGGGGATCTCCTCCTGTCGGAGGACTTTGCTCAAGGCTTCTTGGTCCGAGCGTGCTGCAGCGCCCGGGAGTACTGTGTGCTAGCTGAGACCTTGGAGAAAGCAGCTTGCCTACACAAATTCTCTCACAGAAAGGCTCTAAACTTTAGGGCCTTCTATGTTTGCGTATAACGCTGTCTCCTAAACCCTGCACAACCAACCAGCATTCTCTGAGGTCGCCTTCGACATGCTGGCCTGCTACAGCACGTGGCAGCGCAGTGGGCGATTGCAGATACATACGGCAACCGTGCTCAGGGAGTTCTTACAGCCACGCTGGTGGATGGAGGACAAAGCAGCGCGAACATTCACTTGCTTGCACTGATAGTTCCAGTGCCGCTGCCTCGCGGCCTTCCTTGTGCAGCTACGCTGCGCAGCAAACTCGCTTAGCAGAAAGAAAACAAGCAGTCAAGAGAGACCGGAAGGGGAGCGAAAGAGAGAGAGAGAGAGAGAGGGACAGAGAGAGAGAGAGAGAGAAAAAGAAATAAAGAAAGAAAGACAGAACAAAAAAGAAAGAAAGAAAGAAAGAAAGAAAGAAAGCGAGAGAGAGAGAAAGAGAGGAGGCAGAAAGTCGGACAGCAACAGCTGTGGCTCTGTCACGCTGCTGTACGACTGTAGAACACCAACAGCAGTGGCTCTGCCACGCTGGTGCTGCAGTTATTGCAAACATTCGGGTGCACAGTGTCGTCTGCTCCCTGTATTTTGCTTGAACCCTAAACCATACGCCCTCAAACCTCGAATCGTGGACCTTTGCCTATTCAAACATGAGCTGCGCACATTCATGGTGCACATACGTTCCAAAGATGTGACCTAAAGACTTGGAAAACGGTCTCTTCCTTGCACAATGCCGCCAGTGTTTACACTTTGTTTCAATGACTGCCTTCCTGCTGCTCCCTCGTCTTACTCTGAAAACAACAAACTGAAGCAACTCTTGGCTGCGCATGACGAAACACAACAAGTTTCTTCATGAGGTGGTTAAATGCCTTAAAACAGAGCAAAAAAAGATAGAAAAAGATAGAAAAGATATAAAAAGATAGCTGGAGATATAAAGACATACAACACATATTCGACTTTATAGCCACTTGCAAGAGTTTGTAAGTCTTTATAACATGTATTATCCACTTGTAAGTAATTATACGTTCAAAAAAACCTCATTGTACTTAAGGGATCATGGGACGTAGTAACTACGCAGGCTTATCCTTAGGGTACGTAATTTTCTGAAGCAAGGTAACTATACTGATGATTACCTA